GGAGGGCGGTTCCCCTTAGCGACGAGAAGTTCGCGGGGTCTGGTGGCGGGGTGCTCGCCTGGGGACCTCGGTCAGCAAGGCAGCCCCTTCTCTCTTTAGTGCGGGATGCGACGCTCCGGATCCTGCCTCCCCGGCGGAGGACACTGAGCAGAAACAAAAAAAAAAAACCCTGGGTTTAGAATACTGCATTAGATTTATTTTTTTTTTTTACGTTGAAAAAGACTCACCGGGGTTGTCAGAATTACAGGTGTGGGTTCATCTGAAATGTGACCTTTTGAATTGAAAAAGAAGTATGAAAATGAGTCATGAAGACTTAGCTAACGGCACTTAAGATGGCATTCTTCCCTTTAAGAAACCTTGCTAGATTTTTTTTCTGTACTTCAGAAAAAGGATCAGCTCCACTGCATGCTATATGAGAACATTTTCACAGGAAATCTTGTTGAGTCTCCTGCAGAATAAACCAGCTTGATATAGCTGACACACTCACTGCAAACAAAACTGCTGCTTTGCTCAATTTCTGAGGGTTGGGTTTGTTGGGGTTTTTCAGTTTAATATTTCTGAAGCATACCTGTATAGTAATAAAGTCAGGTTAGAAACTAAAGCACAACATCTGTGTAGCAGCTGTTATATTCCAGCTCGAGTCTTACTTTCCTGAAAAAAAAAATAAAATTGCTATGCCTAAATGATACTGTACTACAGTAATAATAATTGTGCGGTTTAGCCGTATTACTGCTCCATAATCCATGCAAAGCGACAATGTACAAGACCGATAAACTCTTTTTTTGTCAGTGTGAGATTTTATTTGGTGATGGATATTTAGGGGTGATCAGGGTGAGGGGAGGCAGGAAGAACGACTAGGAAGACTAGGAAGGTGGATATATTCCTGTGTTTTGTTTACAAAAAAAACCAAACCCAAAACCCAACTGAAGCCATGCTGGCAGTCCTCAGACATTGACTTTGTACCTATAATTTAATTTCCCTTTGGCCTCAGCTAGCTTGGGCATTTGTATTTTTAATTACCCTCATGGGAAAGTAGACCAAGACATGACTGTATCACACTGGAAACTTAGTTTTCCTATAAAAACATTTCATCAGGACTGACAGGAAGAACTTTAGCCTGGAGGGGAGGGAGAACATGAGCTATTTTTAAGTGGTAATAAGGATTTGCGTTGGCTTGAATTTTCAGTTGCTTGTCAGTCAATGTCTGTGAGAGAAAATGGGATTGAAAAGTTTAAGAGGAGATGACCGGCTTCATACATTTAATACTGTCTTGTACTTGGAAGATGCTAATATAAAAAACTCTTTTTCTGGCAGATGACGTTTACCGTAGGAAACGATCTGAAAGGCAGTACGAGGCAAGGATGGAAAAAAATGAATTTTAGCTGAAGCGTTTCAAGGGGAAGGTCCCGAATGCTTCAACTGTATTAATACCAAAGAGGCATTACTGCCACGTTGACAGTAGGGGAAGATTTTTGCCTCTGCAAGATGAACTGTAATCCACAAGTCTGTGTAATGCACTCTCAGATGGTTTTGGCAGTTTTAGTCTTCTTCCATCTACTTCACATCTTTAATATTTTGTATTTAAGCCAAATACAATAGCCAAAAGTTCATTGTGTTTAGGCTTCTGCCATTTATTTAATGTTTAGTATTTTTAAATAAACTAAACTGATTAAAGAGAGTCTGGCTACTGCTTTTCTTTGTTTGATGAGACCCCATTCTTGTGCGGAGACCAAGGGGAAAGAAACGTTACATATTGCATACGCATATCTCAGCACAATGGAAACAGTAATTTTTAGTTAGTTTCCTTTGTACTGATAGAAACTGCTCTGGCATCTGATTTGTTTTCTTTCCAATGTGGCATAATTTCAACTAGATAAAAAGAGGACAGACTTAGTGCTCTGTGTTTACTCAGCCCGCACTGTTTGGAAAGTCATCCGTGCATTTGGGCTCCGCTGTCTTCAAGTGCTATAATACTCATTGTTGCTACTCTAACACAGGCACAAGTCTAGAGGAATGTGCCACAGCAGTCCTAGCAAACCTTAAGTCTGTAGGACTCCTGTCTCCCCAAAGAAGGAAAAGGAAGCGAACTGCTCTGTCCTGGACAGCTTTTAGTGCCTGACACTGTGACACTAGCTCTCTGGTGCGTGGGAGCACATCAGTGACTATGCGTTGGGGTGACTGGTGCAGTATTGTCACTGAGGATCGTGTATTAATGCAGTTGGCTTATTATTTCTGATGGTATGTGTATATGCTGAGGGTTCCATAAAGAAGCCAATTCTTAAGCCTAAAAACAAACCCGAGGGCGTTCAGATACTTACATGCGTTGCTGTGCCAGCTCCTAACAGCCTTTTTCCACAGTAGTAAGTTTGCACTAGAGACAATGGCTGTTTTTAAAGATGTTACGGTGCAGGTACTGAACTTGCGGAGGGTAGCAGCTGTACTTGGTGGTGTGTCTTCCAAGGACTTGATCTGGAGGACTAGTGCTACTTGTGTTTTTGGGAGATTAAAAAAACTGACAAGAGAATTAAAGATGTGACCATGCTGCTGCATATTTTGATTGGACAGCAAATGAATTACTTGGGAAAAACCTTTATTTCAGAAATACTAAGAACATAATTCGGACTTTGATTCCAAGGTAGAACCCAAGTTCAAATGCAGAAGCTTCCTTTTGCAGTCACTGATCATTGCACTGAAGTAAATCCTGACTGTAGCAATACATTAAAGAAGAAAGCATTTATTAATGCTTTTAATTATTAATTACTAGTTAATGCTATTAATGCTTATTAAAGCCAGATTCTTAAAATTGCTGAGCTTTCGCTCATCTGCCTTTACTTCTTGATCCTTTTGGAAGTCTTGTGCTTGGTTTCCACAACTAAGTTTTTCAGTATCTTTGTTTTTTTGACAGAGAGCCCTGTGCCCCAGTTACTTCTCAGTACTCGGGAGCCTGGTGTGAAAGCTTCCTGTGGCTTCCCCTGAGCACTCTAGTAGCAGTGTTTCACAGACATCAGTGAGCCAAGGTACAATTTTTCACTTCAGAGCCCTTGCTTATTTTGCAGCACTGTTTCCCATTTGCAGCTGAGAGCACCAGGAATGTCTGGAAGATACCTTGGGTGTCTCCAGCTAGGTAAACAGCGAGACAGGCTGCAGTCGCTCACAAGAAGTCTGGCGTCAGGGAGTTCTGCATTACCGGTCTTTGTTACCAGTGCAGGAATAAAAATCCTACCCCAGGTTGGCATTGTACCACTTACAGGCAACACAGATCCGTTATGACACAAGACAAAGCTTGATATTCAGAGATCTGAGCTGCATTTCTCATTCCACAGTGTGTTTGCTAGTGCTGATCCTTCTGCATTCTTTGATTTTGCCAGTCACAGAATCGCAATAAGAGCAGCTGGAAGGCCCCAGTGCCCAGCCTGTTCCAGTACCAAGCACACTTGGGGATTTAGTATCAATATACACCCAATCTTAACAACCAAGGTCTTCATTTAGGTTTCTCAGTTTTATCCCTGCTTACTCCTAGTTCTGGGCTCTTTGCCTTCCCCAGAATCTCTTTCCCATCGTCTTTCTGGTTCTCATCTCCCCATTTCCTTCCTGTCCTCCAGCTTCCCCCCATCTGTCTACTGTGGTGGTGGGCAATGGGGAGGAAGCTTGGAGCTCAGGCCAGCCCTGGGAATATGCTGCTGCCACTGTTACGCACTGCAGGAGCAAGCCAGGAACGCAGCTTTCATTTTAGGTGCTGCTGAGCCCCTGCCAGTTCTGGGGTTGAGCACGTCCATTCCTTCTTCAGGGAGTTCATCTGGTGTCAGCCCAGAACAAAGCTCGGCATCTACAAACAGCAGTCTCATGTGTTCACTTTGCAGCAGCCACGGCAGGAGAAAAATAGCAAAGCTTTCCGGCGGAAAGCTTCCCAAGTTGCAGAAGGCAGGCCAATATAGGTATCAAGCATGGAAAATTTCAACTTGCTAAAGCAGCAGCAGATAGTCATCTGCGAACAAAGTGATACTTGTGTACGAGCAATGCTGCTCACCACTCCAGCATGAGAAGGGACAATTTCACTTTGTGTTTTCAGTTTTGTGGAAAGAACTGATCTGTTCGTTGAACGTTTCCCTGCTGCTGTGCACCCAAGGGTGCTGCCTGCTGAAAGACCTGTGGCCAGCCAGGGAAGTACTGAAAAGAAATTCTGGTAAAGGAAACGTGTATGGGCTGAGCCTGTACTCTGCCCTGGCACAGGGGTGCAGCAGAGTTTTGTCCCAGCTTTTGATTCAAGAGTAGAAAAAGGGAAAAATACTCATCTGTTATATATTGATGAATTCTTCCCTGGAGCAAAACTTTTACTATCTTCAGTAGAGGCAAGCTTTCGCTTTGGACTTCATACGCAGATACAAAACCGTGCCTGCGCTCTGGTTATGGCCAGCCCCAGCTCCTCTCAAGAAGGCCGGAAAAATCTGCAACAGGCAGTGGTGGGGTGACTGGTCCTGAGGAATTTCCTTAAGTTGTTACTGGATGTTGGTGCTTCGCACCAAGCATGAGGATTAATTATAGTCCTCCCCAAAATCATCCAATGGAAACTGAATTTGGGCAGTCCCTGTAGAGACAGTTGCACAGGCTTCATGACCATCTTTCACCATTTTTGTCCAAGGTTTTTGTCATGCTCAGCTTAACCTGGGCTGAGCCACACCGGTTACTGGTTCTCCGGTGCAGCTTGGTGCATTCTTCTTTGCTTCTTTTAATCGTCCCTCCTGCTGCCTCCTTTAACAGCTGATAATCTGCATGGCCTGACATCTACACTGGATTTCTGATCCCTCTTGGTGCTGGAAGGATCAACTGCAGGAGACCACTGCGTCTCCAAGGCCTGACCAAGACTGGGAATCTCTTTATCCAGGATCACCAGATCCTACTGCACTGCAGCAGCTGTCCTTTTGTTTCTTTGTATGATGGTCAAATTAGACTTGCTGGAAAATGCAGTAAGCAAAAGGAACATGGTTTATTTTATTAATTAGAAAGTCTCGCATGTATCAATGAATCAGATCCCATTTCTTACTTGATGTTCAAGTGCCCAACCATTTTGAACCACCGCTCCAATTTAGTGCATTTGCAGTCGGGGGGGGGTGTGTGTACATCTACAGATGATCTTCAGTATCTCAGACTGAGCAAGCAAGATGAGGAGGTTGATTAGAATTGGTCTCCTCTGTGCAACTGCACCATCCACTACCAAATTTTAGAAAGGTGGAAGTTCTGTAAAGCTGCCAGCCTGCATGACAGGCAGTGTTTATCCCCCAGGTCCAAGACATGAATGCATGTTAATTAAATATAACGCTATCTGTTCTGGTTGTCTAAATAGCTCTTTGTAAGTTGTATGTCAGAGGCACCTTGAGACTTGAGAGGTTGATACCACTTCATTTTTCTTGCCATTTTTGGTATTTAAGAAAATTTCTGTTCTGGTTTTTAATTTTATTGTGTAGAAGATGCTTTTTTTTCCATATTACTGTTCTATTTTCCTTTACTAAAGAGCTACATAAAAGAGTCCTGAACCAGGTTAGGTTAGCTTCCAGTATGAATCTAAGGCCTGCTGTTTATTCTCAAATGTGGGGGCAACTGGGACTGACTGAATGTTACCATCTTCACTCAGCTTGTTCCCAGTGTGTCACATATTTTTCAAGGTTTACTGTTCATGCTCTTATGGCTCAATTTTCAACCATATTTTTCAGCATCACCGTTCTTAGTACCTACCAGGCACATCTTGCAATACACAGGACAATATAAAAAGGATTCTTTACCCACACACAAGCACACACATACCAAGGACTTGATAAAACCTGGATCATCAACAGCCAGAATTACTTGAAATAAAATCCTAACAAAAGCCTTGATAGGACACTCAAACCTGGTTAATCCAAAACACTTTGCAAACTATTTTTATTCAAATTAAAAAGACTCAGGTAAACAAAGTGATGGTACATACATGTTATAAACCTGGTTAGCAGCTTAACCTTCAGGAGTACAAGATCTAATGAAAAGCCAAGCATGGATTAACCAGGTCCGAAAACATACGCTGAAAAAAAAAAAAAAGTCACCAACATCAACGTTCTGAATTTTTACACAAACAGTAAATTTTCTTATGGAAGGGAAGGACTGAGGAAGAGAACAAATAATTATTAGTCGTCTCCAACTGGTTTATGAAAATACCGGTCCTAGATTAATCTATTTTCCACTCTCACAGAAGCCAACCATTTCCCATACGTACTTTTATTTTAATATGGAAGTTTTGTTTACGCCAGTACAATCAACGGCAGTGGAAAACAAATGAAGGGTTCAAACACCCACAAAGAGAGAGAATGACAGACAGAATGTCTCTTTTTTTTTTTTTTTTTTCTTTTTTTTTTAAACCAGAGTCAGAAAACAGTTTCTTTTGCTGGTTTGGAATTCTAGACTGTAGCCATTACATCCTAAATTTTACTGCAATCGACTGAAATGCCTCCCATATAGAGACACATGATTTTGAAATAAATAAACAAAGCTTAAAATAACTGATTAGGGCCAGCCCAGTGGCTTAGTGGTAGTGCTCTGCACTGCCTTGTGGGAGGACCCAGATTTCATTTGCACTTCCAATCTCTTGCTCCTGGGCCGGAAAGAGCAGTGAAACCAAGGCTTCAGCTGCTCGGGCAGGAGAGAGCCAGTGCTGCAAGTCCGCTCATCACTGACCTTGAGATAAATTAAACATCTGAGTTATATAGGCTCTGAAGGGAGTCCCATCCAGTCCTCAAAAGAAAATAAATAAAATAATAACTTAACTAAAATCCATCCCAGGTTCTTTGGTGTAATTTTTGTTAATGCTGAGAAGCAGGAGAATC